AGTTTTTGCCATTTTAAAGCATAGATAAAGAAAATGAAATTAAGAAGGTACGCTTAGTGGTTGCAAAAGGTTCAAGAAATCTGGGTACAAAAGTTGGAGAGTGAAGAGATTCTTAAAGAAGAAGAGTAGAAGAAGCTTTGAACATAAAGTTTGAATGAACGAAAGTTGGGATATTTATAGTTTGCTAATGACGGTTCAAAACCACTAGTGGCCGACCAACAACTGACACACATTTAATGCCTTGGAGACTGGACCGACGGGACGTTTCAGTTACCTTTTGTAGCTTACCTCATGATCTATCGAAACGAGGTTCGAAAGTTCATATCATTTCTCATCATCTTCTCTCCGAAAAACGAGGGGGCTATCTGTATACGGTCGAAACCGGGTTCGTCCATTGTATGACCAGCCGAGACTGAAGCGTGACAGGTCAAAAATCGAGCCCGAGTTATATTGAACCAAAGCGCGAAGTCAAGTCATTAAGCTCGTGACTCCAGGGCCGAACAAGATCGAGGGAACTTTGTCGATCCAAATAACGGAGGGACAAAATATCCGGGATCGGTCGGAGATCACGGCAGAATTCTCGGCACATATCGAGGAGAGGCCAATTAATTGGCAAATCATGAGATTGGTTACCTTTAATAGGATTGTATCAAGAATAGGACCCCCTACTATATAAAGGGAGGTTTGATCATTTGTAAAGGATATTGTAACACGCATAAAGAAAGCAATATACTGATCATTTCCAGTTCTTATCGTATTGTTGTTTTGTTCTAACATTAGCTGAGGCATTTCTTGGCTCGAGGGTGATCAAACTCAAAGTCTAAGGCTGTTCAATTTGTGTGGTTTGAATTTATTTTCTTAGAATTAATTTCAATATTAATCTGTCTTCTTAATTTGTATCAAGTTATATCACGTATCCTTAAAACCGCGTATAAACTCAAATGTTATTCGATTTTAAGGATAAACAGTTTGGCGCCCGTCGTGGGGCTAAGGATAATAGTGATTACCTGGTATAAACTTTCATAACACACACTATTTTACACTTGTTCTTTGGAGTATCTTTGATTCCAGGACCAAAATGTCAAACTCTCAGTCACCACCCCTACACGTTGACAATGATTTCGGCCACCTTGGCGAAAATGATAACATAGAAACAGGGAACGTACCCCCGGTCGATCTCGACGGAGTCCCTACTGTAGATCCAATCGATGTTAACTCACATGTAGCCATCAACACAAATTTGGCCGTTAATCCCGAGGGTAGTGTTCATAGGGATGTTCGATCAGCCGCACAAAGCACACATGGCGGCGAAGATGGCGGGATCAGCCTGCGGTTGATCTTCAAAATATTGCAGGCTCAACATGCAGTGATAGCCCAGCTCCAAAATTAGAATCACCCACCGAGTAGGATCGAGCCCGAGCCGTCCCAGGAAGTTGTCCACAGGGTCGAATCCGTTTCAAGGAAATCGAACGAGGAAGAATCGGAGACCAATCCTACTATCATGAAGATGCTCGAAGAACTGACAAAACGAATTAAATCAGGGGAAAAGAAGATCGAGGTAAACGACAAGAAGGTAGAAACTTACAACTCCAGGGTCAATCAAATACCGAGGCACCGCCGATATTGAAGGGTCTGGACTCCAAAAAGTTCGTTCAAAAACCTTTCCCCCCGAGCGCGGCTCCCAAGCCGATCCCCAAGAAGTTATGCATGCTCAAGATTCCTAAATACAATGGAACAATCGATCCGAACGAGCATGTAACCTCTTACACATGTGCTATCAAAGGAAATGATCTAGAGGATGACGAGATCGAATCTGTCTTGCTAAAGAAATTCAGAGAGACCCTGTCAGAGGGAGCTATGATATGGTACCACAATTTACCACCTAATTCTATTGACTCATTTGCTATGCTTGCAGATTCTTTCGCAAAGGCACATGCCGGGGCCATTAAGGTTTAAATCAAGAAGTCGGACCTTTTCAAAGTAAGGCAAAAGGACAACGAAATGATCAAAGAATTCGTGTCTCGATTCCAAATGGAACGGATGGACCTGCCACCGGTCGCTGATGATTGGGTTGTTCAAGCTTTCACCCAAGGACTCAACTTCTCAGCAGTTGAAGTAGAATCTGATAGAATACCCGGCTGTTACTTGGGCCGATGTGCATAATCGGTATCAATCAAAGATCAGGGTCGAATACGATCAACTTGGGTTCCTTCCGCATCCGTTTATCCTATCAGACCTGCCGATAGAATCAAGAGGGATACTTACCGAGAACCGAGGTTGAACAGAGATCGATATCAGCCATGTAATGGAGATCGTAGGAGCGGATCTGGAAAAATTCTGTGCGAAATAAAAGGAGAAGTAATCGACGCCAGAGCTCTCGAGGGCTCATGAGCAAGAAAGACTTCGACAGGCCTATCAGATCGAAAGAAGCACCACGATTATCAGAATACAACTTTAATGTTGATGCAACTGCCATCGTATTGGCTATCAGACGCATCAAAGATACCAAATGGCTTCGACCTTTACATACCGATCCAAGACAAAGAGATCCCAAGCAAATGTGCAAGTATCATGGCACTCGTGGCCACATAACGGAGGATTGTCGACAATTGAGAGAAGAAGTAGCCTGGTTATTCAACAACGGGCACCTTCGGGAATTTCTGAACGACCGAGCCAAGAATCATTTCAGAAACAGGGATTCCAATAAAGAAAACGAGCAAGAAGAACCTCCACACGTCAATCATATGATCATCGAAGGGGCGGATGTTCCTCAAGGTCCGATGTTAAAGCGCACCAAAGTATCAATCACAAGGGAGAAATGGACTCGAGATTACATACCAGAAGGAACTTTATCTTTCAACGACGATGATGCAAAGGGGATCATGCAGCCCCATAATGATGCACTGGTAATATCTGTACTCATGAATAAAGCTCGGGTTAAATGTGTGTTAATTGATCCAGGTAGCTCGGCCGACATCATTCTATCAAGGGTTGTAGAGTAACTCGGCCTATAGGACCAAATCGTGCCTGCAGCCCGAGTGCTAAACGAATTCATATGGCTTGCGAAACTACTAAGGGAGAAATAACGTTACCGTAAACGTAGCCGGAACCATCCAGGAGACCAGGTTTTATGTGATCGAAGGGGACATGAGGTACAACGCCCTATTCGGGAGACCATGGATCCACAACATGAGGGTTGTGTCCTCGACCCTTCACCAGGTATTAAAATTCCCAACACCATAGGGGATTAAAACGATCTACGGGGAGCAACCCGCCACAAAAAATATGTTTGCCGTTGATGAAGTAATTCCGATATCAACACTCTCATCGACAAAGGAGCCAGGTTCGAAAGCAAAACAGGAAGCCAAATAGCATCACCGATGTCGGCCTCGACCCAACCAGACAAGCAGGGTACTGATGAAGACGATGATTATGGGTTTCCTCGATCCTTTATAGTCCCCGATGATTTGAATGCTACCAAATCAACGGTCGAACAGCTGGATCAGGTCATAGTAATCGAACACCAGCCTGATCGGAAGGTATACCTGCGCACGGGGTTAAATCCCGAGCTCGAGAAAAAACTTATTCAATTTCTTATAGTTAACATGGATTACTTTACCTGGTCCCATCTCGACATGACAGGGATCCCACCGGAGATCACTACTCACAAGTTGACCTGGACCCGAAATTCTATCAGGTCAAGTAGAAAAGGAGACCCCAGTCCGAGGTCATGCATGCTTTCATCAAGGACGAGGTAACTAAACTCCTTAAAATAGGGTCCATCCGGGAGGTCAAATACCCGGAATGGTTAGAAAACGTAGTAGTAGTCCCTAAAAAAGGGAACAAACTAAAAATGTGTGTGGATTATAAAGATTTAAATAAAGCATGCCCCAAATACTCTTTCCCTTTGCCGAACATCGATCACATGATTGATGCCACGATCGGCCACGAGATCCTCAGTTTTCTCAATGCCTACTCCGGGTACAGCCAAATACGAATGAACCCGGATGATCAGGAAAAGACCTCCTTCATCACTAAGTATGGCACATACTGCTACAACTTAATGCCATTTGGATTTAAAAATGTCGGTGCCACTTACCAACGCCTTGTAAACCGAATGTTCGAAGAACAAATAGGGAAATCCATGGAAGTTTAAATTGACGATATGTTAGTTAAGTCCCTGCGAGCAGTGGACCATTTAAATCATTTGCAGGAAACCTTCAGTATATTGAAGAAGTATAACATGAAGCTGAATCCAGAAAAATGCGCGTACGGAGTCGGATCAGGTAAATTTCTCGGGTTCATGGTGTCCAACCGATGAATTGAGATCAACCCCGACAATCAAAACTATCGAGGATATCACGGTAGTGGATATTGTGAAGGCCGTACAAAGGCTAACCATGCGCATTGCTGCCCTGGGGAGATTCATCTCAAGGTCCTCTGATAAGAGCCATCAATTTTTCTCGTTACTGAAGAAGATAAACAACTTCACATGGACCCCGGAATGCCAACGAGCCTTGGAAGAACTTAAGCAATATCTATCAAACCCGCCGCTTCTTCATACACCAAGGGAAGATGCATGACTATACTTGTATTTGGCGGTATCGAAAATAGCGGTAAGTGGAGTCCTAGTTCGGGAAGAACAAGGTATGCAATTTCCAATTTATTATGTTAGCAGGACCTTAGGTGAGGCGAAACTAGATATCCTCACCTAGCAAAATTGGCGCTCGCTTTACTAAGTGCCTCTAGGAAACTGAAACCATATTTTCAGTGCCATAATCCAAAACCTTAAGAAAAGGTTAACCGATGCTAAAGGAAAATGGAAGGAGATCCTGACCAAAGTCCTTTGGGCATATCACACGACAGTGGCGTACGCATGATTTTTCGTTAGTGGTGTCACTATTTAAAGAGTAAACGAACGAGTAAATAATTTATAATATATATCATATTATAAAAAGAAAACTTAAAAAATATTAATAAAACACAATTCAAGTACATCACTACAATTCTCCTCGACGAGTTTTTATGTTTTGAAATGTATTCATAATAGCCTCATTAGAAACATTACAAAATACATCTTTTTCTATATAAGGCACCAAACAACCACTTAAAATCTCATCATCCATTCGATTTCGTAAGTCAGTCTTTATCAACTTCATTGTTGAGAAAGCTCTTTCAACCGTAACCGTAGCAACTGGCAAAAGTAAAGCAAATTTCACTAGCCGGAACACAAGAGGATAAGTCCCATGCTTCTTTGTTTCTACTAATTTATTGGAAAGATCACCAAGTCCCTTAAGATCAGAAAACCTTTTATCGTGATCCCGAACATCAACAATGTAATTCTCAAGCTGAAAACGAAGGTCAACTATAGAATATTTATCAAAATCATCGGGATATAGCTCAGTCAATCTCAATATCTTTTCAATGTAAAAACTTGAAAAAGAGTTAACCAGGTTCAAGCAAGCAACTCCAAGAAGCAATTCAGTTGTCACCTCATCAAAGCGACTATTGAGTTCTTGAAATTGCCAATCAATAGTTTTATGAAACACTACAACATGATAGTGATGTAAAATAGAGTACTCTGCAACTCTACAACGTGATCTTCCAAGAATCATATAAAGCTCATCAAAGTTAGGTATCAATAGGTCATATTTAATACAAAACTTAGATACTTCATCAATAAGTGGAGCCTAGCCGTCCTCTCTCAGTTGTTGCAACCGATCCTTTGTCACTCTAACAAGTATCACAGCATTTGCAATATTTTGCTCCTTCTTTTGAAAGGCAACATTAAGCTCATTTGTAATTGCTAAAACAATACGCATAAAATGCAACATGAAGGCAATCTCAAATGTTAAACATGCTTTAAGGTATCCCTTTGCCTTACACTTTTCTTCAAAACGTGCATTAACAGCAATAACATCAAGTACATCAGTGATAGGGCCAAACATAAGAATAAAATTATTAAAGGATTTGTAGTGAGATCCCCATCGAGTATCACCGGCCCTAGCAAGACCTAATTCTTGATTTAAACCCCTCCTAGTTTCAAGATCACCTTTACGTAATGCTTCTTCAATTTCTTCGGCTTGGGATTCACGAAGCTTATCTACATTTAATATATCAGAAACAACTAATAAAAGTTCTTTCACTTCATCACATTTTTTAGAAACTGCAACAAGAGTTAGTTGCAGTTGATGAGCAAAACAATGAATAGAATGAGCACCTCTACTTTTTTTTTTTGCGTTAAGATTTTAAGCCCATTTAAGTCACCCTGCATATTTCTTGATCCATCATAATTTTGTCCACGTATGGAAGATGGACTTAAAGAGTGTTGAGAAAGTAAACCAACAATTTCATTCTTTAGAGACAAAGCAGTAGTTTTACGAACATGAACAATACCAATAAATCGCTCATCACACTTCCCCTTCTATCAACATACCACAAAACAATAGTCATTTGCTCCTTACATGATACATCACAAGATTCATCAACTAATATGGAAAAGTGATCACTATTTAAATCCTCAATGATACACTTAATTGTTTCCATCTTACATGCAATAATAATATCCTTTTGAATGTATGGAAAAGTCATTTGATTATTCTTTGGAGCTCTTTTAAATGCATCAGCAACATGATCACATCTTTTAATATACCATTTAAGAAGTTCAATATAGTTAATGCATCTTCACGATGCCTCCGAAATGATAATCCTTGGTGCAAAAGATATCTTATCACATCAATTGCAGCCTCTAAACGAATCATGTATTCTAACTTTTGTTGATCAGATTGTTTCGCAAGTACACTTTGAATAGATTGTTTTTGTCTCATCAAATCATCACCTTTCTTTCTTGATTGATTATGAATACTATTTGGTCTACCAATATGCGTATCAAATCTATGCTTCTTATTCCAACTTGTAAATCCTACAGTTGAAAATACATCTCCTCCCCCTTGATTGATGCATTCATCTTGAAACAAATAACAATATAAGCAAAAAGCTGCATCTTTTATTATACTATATTCCAACCAATCATACTAATTAAACCATCGAGGATTAAATCGATGCAATTTACCATAACAATTTCTTTGAGGAAATTTGTGCTCTCCAGGTTGAAAAAGACCTCTTTGAATATACTTTCTTCTTATTGCATCATGGTCATTTCGGTGATATTTTCGAATTGCTAATCTTTCCCCAGGATCTACCTCTAAAGAGCTTAAATTAACTCTTTCGCTTTGTTGATCTTGTTTCAACTCACTAGCCTTTTCTTCCAAGTTAGATAAATCTTGAGATGTTGAAGTTGATTTTGGAATTTTGGGAGTTGTAGGAAAGTATCTCTTTATTGCAATTAATCTGAATAAAAAATTTAAGTACCCACATTAATCTTTAGATAAACCCTAAATAAGTTCATTAGTAACTATAAAATTGTTCGTCTTCAATAAGGCAAAAACCCACAATTTCATTAACCTCCAAAATCAGTAAACACACCCACAATCATAAATTCAAAATTAATAGATTCATAACAGATTCATAATTTTGTTCATAAACAAATAAAAATGAAAAAGGAAAATCACTCAACAAAAAATAATCATCGGCAGAGAGGGAGAGATTTAATACTAACTTGGAGGAATTTACTTCCGCTGCTTCTTTAGAGTTTGAAAAGAGGGCAAGTCAAAATTCTTTTTATTCTAAAATAAGGGTTGGTTACTGATTTCTTGTGCAATTAGTATTGGGTCAATAACAGCCCACGTCTGTTGAAAAAGTCCACATTTTTAGCATCAACATAGGGTTTTAAATTAATTGAAAAAGTCAAAGAGTCAAAAGGAAATTCGTTGTAGCTAAGGGGGTTCGAACCCCTGACTTCTCAAATAATTTCGGGAGGTAGTAACCATCAGACTACTAAGCTACTTTGTTGCAAGTGGTGTCACCTTTATTCTTTTTACCCTGTATTTTTGTTTTACTTATTATATATATAGTAAAAAAATTTGACGAAGTGGTGTCCCGTGACACCGCTTGGGTCCATGTAAATCCCCCCTGTCGCACGCCCTCGAAGTCCAGTACCGGGGCTACTCCATTCTCATTGGTTTATGGCGCCGAAGCTCTAATACCGGTCGAAGTCGGGGAGCCAAGTATCAGATTCCGATATGCAACAAAGGAATTAAATGATGAGGCCATGAATACGAGCCTGGATCTATTGGATGAAAGGCGTGAAGCTGCCCTTGTTCGATTGGCTGCTCAAAAGCAACTGATTGAGAGCTATTATAATCGAAAGGCCAACCTTCGATATTGCAATATTGGGGATTTAGTACTAAGGAAGGTCACACTAAACACCCGAAATCCGAACAAAGGAAAGTTGGGTCCAAAATAGGAAGGACCGTACCAAATTCTTGAGGTCACCAGGAAAGGATCCTATAAGCTCGAAACGATGAACGGGGAACAACTATCGAGCAATTGGAATGTGATTTGATAAGTAGGGATTTTTACCGCTTATTTGCTCTCTTTTACTTGCGTTTTAGCTCAAAAATGCTCAAAGGTATTCTCGGAAACTAACAAAATGTGCTCACTTGCAGGAATATTGGGAAACGAGCCAAAGAAGTCAAAATAAACTCATAAATGAGTCAAAAGTGAACAAAAACCAAAACAGGGCAAATGAGATACCAGTGCGGACCGCACAATTCTAGTGAGGCCGCAGAAGGAGATTCAGAGACTATAATTTGGCCAGCTCAGGGAGTGCGGACCGCACTGAAATTGTGCGGCCGCAAGAGGTCAGTTGCGACCGCATCCATTTTTATGCAGACTGCGGAGTTGAGATTTAGAGAGATGGAAAGTTTTGGAGTGCGGACCGCATCACTTTTGTGCGGCCGCATAATCCTGAGTGCGGCAGCACCCACTTTTATGTGGATCGCAGAAGCCTCAAGATTTCAAGCCCAATTTCCCAAGACTGCGGAACGCACTAGAATTGTGCGGCCGCAGATGCCCATTTTGCGGTTCGCATCAGAATTATGCGGCCGCACAACCTCCGTAGGGGCATTTTTGTCAAATATTTTCAGCTTAATTTAAATACAACTCTTTGTCATTTTTAGGTTAAGTTTAGTTTGCAGAGGTGCACCTGAACATTTTTTTTTACTTCATTAAGTAATTTTGTAATAGATTGACTTCTTAACACTAGATTTTATTTGTTTAATATATGATTATGCATTCTATATCAATTTCTTCTTGTATTTCTTTATTTTTCATCAGTAGCTAAATCTTTAGCTAGGGTTGTGGCTCAACCCTAGTGTGGATATTTAATGAGTATTAATTTTAGGGCTTGTTTGTGAATGAGTTAGTGATATCTAGACTTTTTTATGCTTAAATTCTAGAATTAATGGTTGAAAATATTGATTCATGCCTTTTTGACCTAGTCTTTGCTTGAGAATGAGAGACTAGGTTTAGGAAAAATTGGCTAGCAAGGAATTGGGGTGAATTCAAGAAATTGATAGCCCTAATTAAAGGGTCAAATCTAGAGATATTAAGACCCGACTTGAGCATATATCACTTGATTTGTGCAAATACCGATTTGGGCTTGAGAAAGACAAACCAGGAAAAATCACTCAAACTACCGAGAGGTATAGAGTGAGAAATTGCATGTGTTTGCTATACCACGACCCCAATAAATCAAACTTGCCCTATAGTTTTCAACCCGTTAGGTAGCCATCTAGGTGGAGGTCACGACCCTAGATTCCTTTATCGTTTGAAAAACACTCAAAACCAAAAACTGTCTTCTAGTTATTATTTGCAATCCTTAGCAAAAAGTAGAAATAGAAAACAACCAATAAATATGTGGAAGTCCAATCTAAGGCATATCTACATTAGCTCTAGTTATATACCTAATCCAAATTCTAACTCCCTGTGGATTCGATCCCGACTCGTGTTGGGTTTATTATTGCTTCGACCGCCTCACTACTTTTTTGTGGTGTGAGTTTGGGCGAGATCAAGTTTTGGCGCCTTTTCCGGAGAGTTAAACGGATTTAGCTATATATCCAGATTTTTGTGTGTTTTGTCTTTCTTTCCTTCCGAGTTACTAATTTTGTGTTTGAATTGATTCTAGATACAAATATGGCTCTAAACAACGAGCCCATCAGAAATGTGCACTTAGGGGAGGACGTGGACGATGATGCCATGGATGAGGTTCCTATTGAACCTCAAGCAAATAGACGAGGCCGCCCGCCTCACGCTAATATGTCCGTCCCTCCCCCACCTCCACCAAGAGCGGCAACCCACTGCCAAACGAGGGTTATGCAAGTGCTATATTCCCGCCCCATATTAGGGTGGGCAACTTATAAATCACCAACGTAATTCTTACACTACTTGAACAACGAGGTTTCTTCACTGGGGCTCCGAATCAAAGTGCCTACAAGCATTTCAAGGGGTTCGTCGATACTTGTTGGGGAAGCAAGCAAACAAATATTTCTGAAGATGCGCTGAGGTTGAGGCTATTTCCCTTTTCTCTATAGGGAAAAACATTGGACTGGTTAGAGAGGTTGCCCAACCATTCCATCACCACTTGGGATGAGTTGGCAGAAAAGTTCATTTCCAGATTCTTCTCTCCAGGATATATGGCAACGCTTCGGGATGA